TATGCAATCATGCATATGCACGTGCAGCAAGGGTAACATGCATATGCACACATACACAAAACGGAAAATTGTTTCTGTAGAATAAAATTGTTTCTGTCACTGTCTTATACAAACATTGTAACGTGACAGCATCATAATTATTCCCCAACTTAGGGCTGATTTTTCAATGGTTAATTATCTAACCATTGAAAAATCAGCTCTAAGTCTCTTTTTAGATGTTCATTGCAAATGTGTATGAAACAGCTTCAGTAAGTATTTAATCACACTTGTGTCGATAACCTTTGACATATTTGGTAATTTGAGACAGTGTGTAGTTGCCAAGTCAATTTAAAAAGTGTTTGGTTGGTCTTATTTCTTTAAACTCCGACGTTTCATTCTTATGTAGCTTGTGCTTAAGAAGGCTTCAATCTACATATATCTATACTTCTATACTAATATTATAAAGAGGTAAAATTTGTAAGTTTGTATGTAGGGGGTAATATTTGGAACCGCTGGTCGGATTGCCAAAATTCTTTCACTGATAAACAGCTACAATGTTCCTGAGTGCTATAGGCTATAACACATCACGTTACGATCAAATGGAGCCGAGCAGCGGGTGAAAACGTGGGAGTATAGCTAGTATATGATATTCGTGTGAATAGGTTGCTTATGAGTAGGTGTTCTCCATCGTAGGTCGCATCATCGCTTATCATAAGGCGTGATAGCGGTCAAACCATTGTAAATCATAACTTATAAAACAAATCTGTACCAATCATAACTTAAACTGTAATAGATATTATTTCTAATATTGTATACATACAATAGTCGTGGTGGCCCGGTGGTAACGACGCCCGCATCTCATGCATGTGGGTGCGGGTTCGAAACCTGGCAAGTACCAATGTGACTTTTTCTGAGTCATATGTACTTTTTTATGATTAAATAGACACCACTGACATACGGTGAAGGAAAACATCGTGAGGAAACCTGGATTTATAATTTCTAATTATAAGTTTGAAATCGCCAATCCGCCTTGAGCAAGCTTGGTGATTAATGCTCAAACGTCTCCGTGTGGGAAGAGGCCTTTGCTCAGCAGTGGGCACTTATAGGCTGATGATGATGATGAGTATACATACAGTCCGCGCCAAACTTTGTGACCGTCCTGAATATAGTCGCGAGTCCGAACTTGCGCATGGCACAGTCGAGTGGCCAATACGTAATCAACCAACCAATTTTCGTTTTCTAACATTTTTAATACTGGTTGATTACGTATATACTAATATTGGCTACTCGCGACTATATTCAGGGCGTTATATTTACGCGGGTATTAACGCGGAAAATTATAATTTGAATACCTTGGTAGGCTTGACGTTTCGACCCGGTTGCACAGGTCGTGGTCACAAGCAGACTGAAGACGCGATGTCACAGCTCCCTGCATTCGGGTGATGAATCTTCATCTACCCCCTTATTTTCATTTTCTACCATATTAGGCCGTCTACACACTACGCTGATTATATCCACAGATGTGTTAACCGACTTTGAAGGAAAGCGAGGTTGTGTTTTGCGAAGCACTGGATTCCACGTCGACGACAATTTAAAGCCGTCCTCCCGATTGAAATTATTTGGGCATTTCTTTATTTCAACCGCTTCACGCACAAGTCTTGTATGGTAGTGGCGATCAGTGGAGAGAATTTGCGGTCGGTGGAATTCTACCCAGTGATTAGAACCAGCCTGGAGCAGGTGTTCTGCTATCGCTGATTTGTTGCTCTGTCGGTTTTTGACTGCGGCGATATGTTCTTTGAGCCTCTCAGCAATGGTCCGCTTCGTTTGCCCAATGTAGGAACTACCGCAGCTGCAGTTGATCTTATAAACACCTGGGCTTTGTAGCGGCAGTACATCCTTCGCCGTGCCTACCTTATCATGAAGTTTAGCCTCAGGTGTGTAGATCGTCGGGATCGAAAACTTTTTAAGGACGGATCCTATCTTGTCTGTCACACCCTTGATATAAGGCATGAAGGCAGGTTGTCTGCTCACGTTTGGATGTCTGGCTCTCTTCAGCGGTCGCAATAGTCGCCCATCCCCTACACTATATCCGTTCTTTTTAAGTACCTCCTGAACATGGTCTAGCTCTTGCCCCAGATGTTCAGGGTCACAGAGGTCATATGCTCTGTTTTTTAGTGATACTCCTCTTACTTTAGTGATCTCCACTGATCGCCACTACCATACAAGACTTGTGCGTGAAGCGGTTGAAATAAAGAAATGCCCAAATAATTTCAATCGGGAGGACGGCTTTAAATTGTCGTCGACGTGGAATCCAGTGCTTCGCAAAACACAACCTCGCTTTCCTTCAAAGTCGGTTAACACATCTGTGGATATAATCAGCGTAGTGTGTAGACGGCCTAATATGGTAGAAAATGAAAATAAGGGGGTAGATGAAGATTCATCACCCGAATGCAGGGAGCTGTGACATCGCGTCTTCAGTCTGCTTGTGACCACGACCTGTGCAACCGGGTCGAAACGTCAAGCCTACCAAGGTATTCAAATTATAATTTTCCGCGTTAATACCCGCGTAAATATAATGTTCTTAAGATGAAACGCGAAAGTTTAAAAGTTAGTATATTCAGGGCGGCCACAAAGTTTGGCGAGAGATGTATATAGTTTTTCATGTCAAACAAAAAATAAATATAATATCAAAAAGCTAAATGTTTGCTTCAGTCTGTCACTCTGAACTCTAGTGAAGCTATTTGCTCGTTCCAAAATGTAGATTCCTATGGAGAAGAACGAGCAACAAACTCCATGGTTACTCTTTTTCAATCAGTTTTACAATTCATTTTTGTTACATCATGTAGTCGTTTCTATTATGTGAGAACAGTGTAACACTAATATTCAGTCAAAGTATCGGATAAGGAAAATAATCTCAAGGAAAAATGTATTTATCTATGTTTCTGTAATATAAATTATTTTAAAATATACAAATTATTTTATTCTGTGTTGGCTTGAACGCACTAATCTCCAGACCTTTGGTTTAAAATGAAGAAATTGAGAAAAACTAAAATAGTTTTTTTAAAAACTAAAAACTTTTAAAATCTAAATTAGTTTTTTTTTAACACGTTGCCCCACACTAGGATTTTCTCCTGTGTCGTGGGTGCGTTTACAAACATACAATTTCATGTACACATGACACCCAGACCCGAAACAACAATTTGTGGATCACACAAAGTGCGCCAACCGTGCAGTCGAAAAGTCGAAGTTATTGAATTTAATTCAGTAGTTCTGAAGGTTAGCGCGTTCAAACACAACTTCTTTGCTTTTTGTTATATAAAGGTAGATAGTATAAAATTAATTGTACTGTTTACACCCGGTTTCCGAAAGGCCGATCAATGTTAAAATCAATTTAATCTCTTGTCAAGTCATCTGATTGGTTGACTGAATTATCAACAACCAATCAGATGACTTGACAAGAGATTTAACAGGAGATTAGTTAATTTTAGCGTTGACAAGCCTTTCAGAAACCGGGTGCTAATTGCAGATAATTGTATACCGTTGTAGTGGTTATTTTTGATAAGTATGTGACCAGTTATTCTCTATTTGAGAAGTAGCATTAAGACAATATACAATCTGATATTATTAAGGTAAAAATAAAATAAATTATTGTATATGAAAAACTTTATTGTATATTTTGATACAACAATAAAAAATATGTTAAATAAAATAAAATGGTATTTTTTTATTATCTTTTGCTTACATACACCCTAAAAGACATTGCCTCGCCGCAATCGTTTGAGAATTCGGCTTACGTAATTGTGCCAACGAGTTCGACTAGTTTCAGTCTCAACTGGGAATCTTGAGGCAAATGGTTCGAAATTAGACTAGACTACGTTGACAAGTAACGCCTTTGTGTGTACCTTAGTCAAATATAAATAAGTATTTTTCATACATATTAATGCAATAATAAAATAAATAAAAAACGATCACAATTTAATTGGAAACAACCTACGGTACAAAAAAATATATTTTTTAAAGGAATAAGTATGTTAATTGAAGCCTAAAATAGGTGGAAAGCTGTCAATTTTCACATTTCGAAATGAATTTCTGATTTGTAGATAGAAAGAAGAAGAAGATAGCTGTCAAGTAAGTAGATCATTTTTACTAGTAGATAAATAGGGTCTTGACGTACCTAAAGTTTAAAATTTTGATTACCGCAGACCTCAGAATACAGAACAAACCAGAAGGCGTCATCGCGCTTCAAACTAAAGCAACTAAAACCATTCTCAACTAGAATAGTATGAAATTTTTACGATTAGTCAATTTTGGCACGTGGCATGTCGTGACGTATTTACGAGTATCAATTTTAATTTCATTATGCCGTCTTGTGTTATTACTACGAGTAAAAATGCGACTGGAATTACGAAAAAAGTGGATAAGATTACATTTCATCTGCAAGCATCGACTGCAATAGTATATTTAATTAATTATTGAATCTTTTTTATCGATTTATTTTCTATGAAAATGATGCGGCCATTTTGTGAGTGTTGTCATTCTTGGTGAAAATTTTACCCACTTATTTATTTGTTGTGGGTTATATTTTTGTCCATTATGGAGCCTATGTCATATTAGTTTCCCTGACAAAAAAATAAAAACAAATCATACAAAAGGCACGGTTAGATTAATTTTGGAAACCATCTAGCCAGAGCATAGTTTGCTCAATTCACTTTGAAGAGATATATTTATGACAAAGGTGGTTTGAAAACAGCATATCCTACTAAGATATATCTATACTGATTATAATGCTGAAGAGTTTGTTTGTTTGTTTGCTAGAATGCGCTAATCTCAGGAACTAAGTAAAGTAAGTAGACTTCTAATCTTTAGTTCCGAGTCTAAAGACATAGGCCTATTAAAAAAACTAAACCAGCAAAAGGGAACGCAATAAAACCTTTGTACTTATTGAGGCTTTATTTTATTTGTTGTGTATAGTAGGTGTAAAATTAACACAGCCAGAAATCGTCAACTTTTATGATACCTCTATGAAATGTGTGAACAACTAGTCTGTTGCATTTATCGTAAGTTTACCTATTTTGTTGGGTTTACTCGTATCTTACCCTCCTGTTGTAAAATCACCCCAAACCAAGGGAATTGTTCCACTGTCGGCAACACTACGCGGGTGGGAAGTGCGGCTGGCGGGGGGATTGACGTATTGTTTTTGGACACATTTGACGACATGTAATTATGAGTGAACGCGGATTCTGGTTTGTTCTGTATTCTGAGCCGCAGACAAAGATGTGGGCCGTTTTTTTTTATTTGATATTACGGCAGATGGGCCCTCTGATTACCTGATAGTAAGCAATCAGCGCCGCCCATGGCAACACCAGATGATGATGATGGGTTTTGGAAATTTAGGGATAAGGGGAAGGATGGGTAAACTAGGATTATATTTAGATAATAATATTTTGTTGTCCTTTTCACTTAGAATTAGCTGCCTTCGTTTCGTTCTTGATATCTTCGTAGGATGTTTGATTCTGTAGAAAAAAAATAGAAATATTATTATTTTTATTTTTCTAAACAATACAATTAAAAAAACTGGGATTAAATATATGCGTAAGAATTAAATATAAGCTAAGCTAAGCTTATTTATTACTTGTTCATTGTTTTTTAATTTGTATGTGTAAAAACACTTTTGGGGCATCTACTATACGGCCGACGTATCTTGGCAAGTCTGAAGTTAGCCGTTTGTCTGCGCAATGGATCTTTTAGGGACAAAATTGTGTACTGCGCAGCTAATCGGCCAACTTCAGACTCGCCAAGTTACGAGAGCCGTACTATACTTGGGTAAGTTAGGTTAGAAATGTGCTACTTACATCCCACATATCGTTGTCCCACTCTGGGAACAGCTTCCTGAACACTCCTGGTTCCTCTCCTTGCTTCACAAAGACCACCAGAGCATTGTCCACCGTACGGTCCAAGCCGTCATCTTCTATGTATTCCTGTGGAAATGGAAGACCAGCGTTTATTTTATTTATTGGCAAACGAGCAGACGGATTGCCTGACGGTATGCAATCAGCGCCGCGCATGGACACACGAAATTGCATGTTCATCATTGAAAGTGCATTTTCGGCCTTTAAAGGATAAAGGTTTCGGATATTTAGGGATTGGGCAGAGATGGGGGGAGGGATTGGGCGTCCAGTAACCTAAATCACACGGCGTAACACAACGCTGTTCGGCGATCTCTAACCCGCCTGTCTGCGGAGATAATGGCAAACCCCTTTAATGGAGAGGAGGTCTGTAGTCCAGTGGACTGGATGAAAATGTTACCTTGATTATATCGCTTCTGGCCATCTTGACGCGCTCAGGAATCTTCTTTCCTTGCCACAGGTAAAGCTCTTCACCGGTATCCAGAATGTACACTCCATCATCAGACAGATCCTGGAAATAAAACGTTGAAGAAGGTCAGACAAAATACAATAGGAATTCATCTGCTTGGAAAAGGCCTTTTATCACATATTATTATGGAGAAGGTTGGAGCATTAACTACTATGCTTGCTCAAAGCGAAAATATAAGTCTAGGTTTCCTCACGAAGTTTTCCTTTACCGTATGTCAGTGGTGTCTAAATAAACATAGAAAGTACATACATATTGGCAAGTCATATTGGCAATTGCAAGACAAAGCAGAATCACCACTTCTTAGGACAGAGAAAACAAAGCTCGCTTTCTCTGTCCCTATATCCCTATGTACGCTTAAATCTTTAAAACTACGCAACGGATTTCGATGCGGTTTTAAATAGATAGAGTGATTGAAGAGGAAGGTTTATATGTATAATTTAAGATCAATTACTTATTAGAGCACAATAGCACCCGTGCGAAGCCGAAGCGGGTCGCTACTTAATACAATATAAAAAGGTAAAAAGTCAAAGTCAATAAAAAAAGTCAGTCAATATTAATTAGACCAGAGTGGGCACTTTTGAACGTCAAGCAAAAAAGGAAAAAAAGTATTTCAAGAGCTTTAAAATTAAGCAAGTCAGTCTGTCCGTCTGTCCTCTAGTGAAGCTATTTGCTCGTTCCAAAGTGTAGATTCTGGCAGAAAGGTAGAAGAAGGAATTTCACCTTGAGCAAGCGTGGTGGTTAATGCTCAAACTTCCTCCGTGTGAGAAGAGGCCTTTGTTCAGCAGTGGGCACTTATAGGCTGATGATGATAAAGGATGTTCACGCCCCCAGAGGCGGTGGAACAGCTAAAGTTTAAGCTTTTCTGAGTTTGTTTCGGCATTTCTTCTCAGAGTAGTCAGATAGAAAATGCCGGCTTCATCTAGTTTTTTTTACGTATAATTTGAGGTGTGAAAGTGCTGTTTTAAGGCCTATTTACAAAAATAAATACATTGCTTCATAAAGATTTATTGATCCTAACGATGATTTAGGCTCTTTTACTTATAGACTGATGATTTTTAATGAGCTTTACTCGAAACTCCATTACCTGTTGAGTAAATTCTGTGTCTAGATCTTCGAAGGTAATTTTCTTAGTAACGCTGACGTTGACAGCTGTCAGAGTGCGAGGTGTTGTCACTCGGCGGTTAACTGCGTTCCTCCAGCCAGAACCGCTCTTTTCTTCTGGCTCACCACCTGGTAACGGTTTCTTTGAAAGTAAAAATGTGGGAGAGCTATTGTTCGGCACAAATGAGTCGACTAGACCGGGGATGTACTATGGCTTCACAGAAAACCGGCTTGAGGCAACAATTGTGTTTCGCCGCTTCGTCCCCTATCCTTAAATCCCTAATAACCTACAAAAGGACGGCGACGCACTATTAAAAATAGTACCTAAACGGATATAAGTGTGTGAGGTTGATTAAAAAAGAGAAAAAACGTCAAAAGAGAAAACAAGACGAGTTGTTGTAGTTAATGGCGGGAAAAATTTATCAGAATGCGCGCGCATCGGCCATAGACTAAAAAAATATGTTTCTTTTTTTTGGGTATTTCGCAGATAGCATTTTAGCGCAAGTGTAAGCGTAAACTCAACCAATTATTTAACTCTATTACTCACTCGTGAATGATAGTTGTGAAAAAGTCACAGTTTGATTATAGGGGTCATTACGTGCCTGATTGCCGTAGGATTGGAGCCACTTTATGAGGCAATCAAGCTTTAGAGGTATGAGAAACAGGGTGTAAAGTGCCTCATCCTCCATTGAAAAAGGGGGAACCTCCGACCAGGCGAGGTGTTCATGCCTGGTGGGCTTACTGCCCGACGGTTGTTATCGGGATTTTTGTATCGGTGCTAATTGTGTTGTAAACTTTTATAGCGCGATGTAGAAACTTGCACGTGATTGGTGCTGTTGTCAATGTTGGGCGATAGATGTCGCTGATTGGTGCTGTTGTCAATGTAAGGCGATAGATGTCGCTACAAGGCACGTAATTTTTTCAACACGCTTGTGTTGAAAAATTTAATTAATCTAGAGTCAAGTTTCTTACCCAAAGTCTCCCAGAACTCCGGCGGTTCGGATCCTTGTTCAATCGTAGTGATCTCTTTGTCTTCTCCCACCAGCATTTTGACGAAGGTTTTGACAGCAGCCTTCTCTTTGTCATTTGATTCCTGTAGAGAAATTATCACTGCATCAGTCATCACTGCATAGTACAAAACAAAGTCGCTTTCTTTGTCCCTATATCCCTATGTATGCTTAAATCTAGAAAATTGCGCAACGGATATTGATTTGGTTTTTTGACAGATAGGGTGATTGAAGAGAAAAGTTTATATGTATCATCATCATCATCCTATAAGTGCCCACTGCTGAGCAAAGGCCTCTTCTCACACGGAGAGGGTTAGAGCATTAATGACCACGCTTGATCAATGCGGGTTGGCGATTTCAAATTCATAATTATAAGTCCAGGGTTCCTCACGATGTTTACCTTCACCGTATGTCTAAATAAAGTGGTATCTAAATAATCATAGAAAGTACAATAACTCGGAAAAAGTCACATTTGTACTTGCCAGGTTTCGAACCCACACATTTATGCATGAGAAGCGCGAAATTTAGTATGATATAACTAATATTATAAAGGTGCGAAATTTAGTATGATATAACCACAGATAACTAATATTATAAAGAGGTAAAATGTGTAAGTTTGCATGCAGGGGGTAATCTGTGGAACCGATGATCGGATTTCCAAAATTCTTTCACCGAAAGCAACTACAATGTTCCTAAATGCTATAGCCTATAATTTTTACTTATTTTTGCGTATTTATTTAGTTAAGCTATCGCTTTAAACGCTGATGTTATTAAAACCATGCGATAAGTTACTTTTATACGCGTGCAAAGCCATGGGTTCTTAATAATTGTTAGGTTAGGTTTTGTTGTATTTTTGTTAGTTATTTTTTTTTTGTGTTTATGATTATGATGGACGGTAAAACTCTAAAGAGTTTATGATTTGCATCATCCCTTTTGTACCGATTACTTGTATTAATGCATTAATAAATAAATAAATAAATAAAATAAAAATAAAATAACCATTCTAGTTCAAGTAGAAAATCTGCTGTCCCTGAGGTTCATTTCTTTTTCGGATCCTTGGTTAAATACTAGTGTTACACTGTTCTCACATAATGGAACTATCTAAATTATGTAACAATGCATTGTAAAAAGTGATTGAAAAAGAGTAACCATGGAGTTTCTTGCTCGTTCTTCTCTATAGCAATCTACACTTTGGAACGAGCAAATAGCATCACTAGAGGACAGACTGACAAATATAAAGTTAAACCTTATGATATCTTCTTTGCTTGACGTTCAAAAGTGCCTTTTGTGGTCTATTTGAAGTAAAGAATTTGATTTGATTTGATAGGATCTTACATTGCCAATCCAAACGTATACTATATCAGCTAATTCCAACACGTAGACATCGTCGTCTTCCAAATTATCAGCCGTTTCTCCGACCTGGATGGCGCGCATGTCACTCAGGTCCGTGCCTTCCACCTGAGGGTAAAAATGTTTTTTAATTTATATTACTTCACACTAGGATTTTCTTCTCAAGTATCGAGGGTGCGTTTACAAACATACAATTTCACATACACATCACACCCAGACAACTATTTTATTTTTGGGGAAGGTCGGTAAACGTCCTTTCGGATTATCTGATGGTAAGCAATTTGCACCGCCCATAGACACCCGTAGGTAATACTCAGGGAGTTGAGAGTACGTTGTCTTCCTTTTGAGGATAGGGGTTTGGGATATTTAAGGATTGGGAAGAGATAGGGGAAGGGGCAGAGATTAGGCCTCCGGCGACCTCACTCACACGTTGAAGCACAACGCTGTGGTTGTTTCGCGCCGGTTTTCTGTGAGGCCGTGGTGTCACTCCGGTCGAGCCGACCCATTCGTGCCGATTCGTGCTCTCCCATACTTAAGTGAATGACTGCACGGTTTGTGCGCTGGCTGGGCAACTGGCAGCCGTGCAACGTGTCGGGGGTTCGATTCTCGCACGGAATACTACTTTGTATGATCCACAAATTGTTGTTCCGGGTCTGGGTGTTTGTAACAGCTAATGTGAAATTGTATGTTTGTAACCGCACCCACGACACAGGAGAAAATTCTAATGGGGGGCAACGTTTTTTTTAAAAAACGAAGTTTTTATTATTTTACTAACCCTGAATAGACGAATACTGTTGTCTTCATAATTTCCTCTAGCATTAGTAGGCTTGTACTCCGTGTCTTTGCCTCCAAACACGATGGCCAAGTTTCCTGTAACAATCAATCTTTGTTAGGTACTACGCAAAAGAGCCATGCTTCGGGGCTGCAGGACCGGCTTGACTTGATCTCCGGCCACCGTAAGCGCGAGTCTGCGGACGGCGAGTAAGGGTAGCTCGCCGCCCGACCAGAACCAGACCCGAGCGTTCCGCGCGCGCCTCAAAGAGCCAATAGACCACCACAGACGAGGCCCTATGGGGCTGATGTTCAGCTGGGGTTGCGGGGTAAGCGTTGCGGAGTAAGCGCAATGAGGCACCGCGACCTCGGCACAGAGCAGGAGAAGGAAGAAAGAAAGAAAGAAAGAAAAAGTATTTATTCGCGTCTGGGACGCATAAAAGACACAAAACGAACAAGATAATAAAATAAAGTTAAAATAAAAATACATTGAGCAAGGTAAAAACAATATCACAAAAGTAGACGGTAGGAGAAAAATATTCGTCCAAGCACGCGAAATGGCCCACGCTCAGCATAATGCAGCGACCCCGTACGAGACAGGTTCGCGGCGCTGATTTTCAGCGATGGCCGTCACTAACGCATGACGCCAATCTGCGCAGAAACTTAAGATAAGAATATATATTCTACTGAAATATGTTTTTTATAATTGTTTCAATAATAAACTACTACAAAGAAACAAACCGCTTATGATAAATGTATGTATGTATATGTATGTTTCCATGATTATCCAAACACCACTGACACACGGTAAAAGAAAACATCGTGAGGAAATCCGGTCTTTTAAATTCTAATTATAAGTTTTAAATCGCCAATCCGTCGTGGGATACAATGAATTTATTTTTGTTACTAAACCAAACAGCGCTTTGATACGTCTAAATTATATATAAAAGACTAGATGGACCCGGATTTTGCTATCAGACTACTCTGAGAAGAAATGCCGAAACAAACTCAGAGGTCTGTCTCTTTTAAAGCCTAAAAAGAGTAGCTTAAATATATAATACACATTAATCCATTATTTCATAATAACAATGGTAGCAAACAAATCACTAATTCCCCAGAAAATTACGTCTGAACGAAAAAACTTAATTTACTAAATGATGTTGTCTCTGCGCTCGATAGATGGCGTTGTACGGTGCCTTGTATTTTCTGAATCGCGCTATGGTTTCGTTACACGCGTTTGGTTAGGTGCTCGCTCCGTTCGTCGTATTATATTGTACTAAGTCAATCAGGTCATCATACAGGTTTTGGAGGTCAAGCTTATGTATGTATAAGCTGTAATTTTAATATTACATATAACATTTTTGGAAAAACTCGTGGTTGTGAAACCATTGAGTTTTATTATACATTGAAAATTGACAAATATTAAGTTGATCTTGAAGTCCCTGTTGGGCGCCAATTTCTGAATTGGCGCCCAAATGGGACTGCGTGTTTACTAGGAGTATTAATCTTAGCTTTATACAAAATGTGTTAAAATTAACTGATAGAATATTAATTATTGAGATTGTCGTATTCCGATGTACAGGATTTCGCAGAAGTTGACGTTAAAATGGCACAATGTGATTGGCAAAGATACAGTTACCACAAGTATCTAGAATTAGAAAAAAAAACTTAGTTGATCACTGTTATTTAAAAAGATACACTTATTTGTTTGGTTAAAACAAAGAGGATATAGTGGTTATATCGTCATTGGGTTAAAATTAGGTAGTCAGCCTGTGAGTCCTGTTGATTTTTTTGTATTTCACGTGTATATTTTCTCACGTTTCCTGATTAGTGAATTGTATTTTTTTTTAATAAAACCACACTAGGATTTTCTCCTGTTTCGTGGGTTTACAAACATACAATTTCACATACACATCACACCCAGACCCGGAACAACAATTTGTGGATCACACAAAAAGTTCAATATTAACGTTGTACTATATATAGTGAATTTGTAATTCGTGATCTTTAACCCGTGATACCGGAGAGCAGATCCACGCGAGACTCAATGTGTTTTCTATTGTTTGTCATTTAACGCCAGACAAGACGTTAATGACCCAATTCCTTTATTTTTGTGAATTAAATTTTCTAAGTGCCTTTTTCCACTTTCATTTAAGCCCCCGATAAACGTAATATTATTGGCGATGCAAAGATTCTAACTAGCGCCTCTAGTGTCAAAATTGTGAAGCTATCTAAGAACGACACTCTGAAAGTTTTCCTAACAATTAACGTCAGGGAAAAAATAAATTACAAAAAAAAAAATCAGATTAAAGTGACATTTTGCTGTTTAAGGGCTGATTTTTCAATAGTCAGATAAATGTTATCTGAGGAATAAAATTTTTGTTGTCACTGTCTTATACAAACATTGTGACGCGACAGCATCGTTATTATTCCACAGGTAACTTTTATCTAACCATTGAAAAATAAGCCCTAAGACAATAATTATGCTGTCAATAGTCGATGTTTCTAAAAGTTCTATTGAATGAATACAATACATACAATTCTTAAAGCAGTCTTCCATTTTTTCTTCAAAATTTTGTCTTTTGAGAATAAATGAAAACTTATTCCCGTATCTCCGTAAGTTAAGTACTACATTGAGGAACGCAACAATAAGTATTTCGTATTTCTGTTTTTATTAGCATCAGGTTTCCGTTTAGAATCGTGATCCATCTGAATTATCTAACATAACTTCGATAAATTAACAAAAAGTGTCATTCTTAGACAGTTTCTATTTTTCGCCGCTAGAGGCGTGCGGATAATCTTCGCATCGCCAATAGGACAATAGTTAGCCAATAGGATACATTCAAACTTATATAATAAAACTAGCGGCCCACCCCCGCTTCGCACGGGTACAACTATTTCGCTATTAAAAGGTCACTTTTTCCGAATCTTCCTCTCCACTTTCCTATATAAGATATGATAAGAACTTTCTCCTGACAATAACAAACACAACAAAAAAAGAATTAGCAAAATTGGTCCAGGCGTTGTTGAGTTATGCGCTTACCAACACATTTTGGGATCCATTTTTATATATAAGAAGTGGCCATTCACATTATGGTCAAACAGGCCGCAATTTGGGGAAAAGGTCTTCAAATTACTTCTCTTGCCTTAGATCGGGTGAGAGGGAGTATCAGACTCTTACTGACTAACACCTCACTCCTCCTCCTCTGAGTCAAGGCCGCCGTACATTACAGTGCTTGCGCCAGCAACCCCGGCAGAGTTCTGTTGGTTCAGCTGAGAGGAACATCACGCTTCGTCTCATAGGAGCTATTTTTTTTTTAATGTAATTGGTCGGCAAACGAGCAGACGGATTACCTGATGGTAAGCAATCAGCGCCGCCCATGGACACCCGCAACGGAGGAGTTACGAGTGCGTTGCCGAACTTTTAGGGATTAGGGATTTGGAGATTTAGGAACTGGGGAGGGATTAGGGAAGGGGAAGGATTGGGTCTCCGGTAACCTCACTCACACGGCGAAACACAACACTGGTTGTTTCACGCCGGTTTTCTGTGAGGCCGTGGTATCACTCCGGTCGAGCCGACCCATTCGTGCCGAAGCATGGCGCTCCCACATTTAAAAATATCCGCTATACAGCGGATGAAACCATGTTTTTTTTTTGTGAGTGGAAAATCATCAAATGACTTCTTCCCGTCCATGTATAGGCGGCGAGTTGCCCTTACTCGCCGTTCGCAGACTAGTGCTTACGGTGGCCGGAGATCGTCTCTAGGGATAAAACCATGCTGGAGATGCCATTTGGAGATAAAAGACTAACCTTTGAAGATACTGAGGAAGTGGCGTGGTTCCTTTCCTTGAGGTACCTTCACCACAGCCGCGTCGTCACCAAGTTCCTCTTCCAGCTGAGAGACCAGTTCAGCTCCGGCCTGCTTGTCATCAGCGGATGCTTTGGAACCCTGAAGAGGTGATAGGGTTTGAATTTGAAAGTTGCATATCGTAGCCGTTTTGAATATTGGAGTAGTTTTTTGTTACAATACATAAAAATTACTCCAATATACAACCAAGAAAACACCGGAACACTGAAGGTCCCAGGGACATGAATGACTGTCTTGGATCCCGCAACGAAATAAATCAGAAGATATTATTTGAGGAGAAGAAAAAACGAAACAGTTTCCACTTCCCTCGGTACATTTAAAACATCGCAGGTGTAAATAATACAAAAAAAAAACTAAATTGAAATCGGTTCATTCGTTCAGGAGCTATGATGCCACAGACAGACAGACACGTCAAACTTATAACACCCCTCTTTTTGCGTCAGGGGTTAAAAGTAAAAAAAACTTCTCTGTTCTAGGTCCATTAATTTTTACCCTCGTTTTTTTGTGAGATTAATTCCCCAAACCCCCATTATACTTCTATTGTGTCCCGAATTACCATGATTGGAAGGTTAAATAAAGATCGAGCGTTTTTATAATAACTATCGTGAGACATACTAAATTAACTAAAAATCGCGGGTTACTCACGTGTAAATATTGGGAAAAGCTTTTTTTTTATGTAATAGGTCGGCAAACGAGCAGACGGGTTACCTGATGGTAAGCAATTAGCGCCGCCCATGGACACTCGCAACGGAGGAGTTACGAGTGCGTTGCCGACCTTTTAGGGATTAGGGATTTGGAGATTTAGGGATTGAGGAGGGATTGGGGAAGGGGAAGGATTGGGCCTCCGGTAACCTCACTCACACGGCGAAACACAACGCAGTGGTTATTTCACGCCGGTTTTCTGTGAGGCCGTGGTATCACTCCGGTCGAGCCGACCCATTCGTGCCGAAGCATGGCTCTCACACACCACAGAGGGGTTTTTCCTCATGAGCAGCGTGCGCGGACGCGGCGACGTCGCGCAGCCTACTCTGTGGTTCGAAACTAGTAGAGCTTTTCTCAACATTTACACGTGAGTAACCCGCGATTTTTAGTTAAAGATCGAGCATCGTCTACGTGTATCAGTTTAAGTACAAAGAAAACTTTACTAACGATCCAGTGATAAATGATGTACGCGTCTTCTCCATCCTCTTCAGTATATTGGTACTTGACCACGTAAGCGTCGCTCTGGTAAAGCATACCACAGCCGGAGGTAAATTCTTCCGTCACGTCGGCACCATCTCCAACCCTGGCGATTTTGAGAAAAGACTTTTTTTATGATACTCGTAGGTATATATAATCGGGTGAAGTAGGCTGAGTAACGCTCTACTAGTCTCAAGTCGCAATGGGAGTCTTATTCATGAGCAGCGTGCGTTAATACACGTGACTAAGTCAATAAATGTACCATGGTCCCAATTGCTTACCCGAGCGTACGGGGCGTAGCGTTCTGCGCGCGCCTCAAAGAGCCAATAGACCACCACAGACGGGGCCCTATAAGCTTTTTTTTTGTGATGGGAAAATCATCAAATGACTTCTCCCGCCCAGGGCCGGGCGCGAGGGAGTGTCAGACTCTTACTGACTAAAAACCCCCCTGTTCCTTCGCCTCCTCTGGGCCGAGGTCGCGGTGCCTCATTGCGCTTACCCCGCAACCCCGGCTGAACATCAGCCCTATAGGTCGGCGGCGGCGACATCTCGCGCCCGGCCTTGCCTTGCCTTGATGCGTAGTGAGAGGAACTGGGACGCCGTCTTCTTAACTAACCTTCCCCCATCCCTAAAATCTCCGAAGATTTAGGGATTGGGGAAGTATGGAAAGGTGAAATATTGGGCCTCCGGTAACCTCATTCACACGGCGAAACACAACGCTATGGTTATTTCACATCAGTTTTCCCCAGGCCGTGGTATCAGACAGGCCGACCCATTCGTGCCGTCATACTTTTTTTTTATAAAAAAACGTTGCCCCACATTAGGATTTTCTCCTTTTGCGTGGATGCGGTTACAAACATACATTTTCACATACACAATTTTTTTGTTTGATTACAAACATACCTTCCCAATCCTTATATCCGCAACCCCTATCCCCAAAAGGCCGGCAACGCACTCGTAACTCCTTTAGTGTTGCGTGTGTCCATGGGCGGCGCCGATTGCTTACCATCAGGTAATCCGTCAGCTTATGCACCGTGCAGTCGAACTTCAAATCATCCTAGTGCTATTATCAAAGGTGCAATGGTTTAAATACCAAAACTGACAAACCTGGTCACAGTAAGAGATCCTTCACCATTATCAGGCATATATTCTCTCGCTGCCGCACTCTTGCCGATATACTGCGCAACTTTCTGGGTCTGTTCCGCATCATCAGAGTCGTAACCAGCATCTGTGAAGAAGTAATGGTTGGTGTGTCAGTCATTCTCTTGTTCTTTGAGGGGTTTTGGCGACTCGTATAGATTGACGACAATGTTTTGTTTGGTGTTTTTGAGACAATGGTTTGTTTTAAGCTCTGAACTAGTCTCTTCAAAGTCTCGAGCACAGGCGCAGAGTAGCCGGCCTTGCGGTTTTCTACAGGATGCATTTTGGAGAGTGTGCTCAGTAATTGCACGATTTGATTCCGCCATCCCAATTTCACCTTCGGACATTTCGGCGTACGGCGAATATCCACCCTTACGTTGTTGAGACACCTGCGGCCCGGACTAAGCGTTTTGCCTCGTCATTTATACCGCGTACATCAAAGGATTGGAACAGTTTGCCGGCTGCAGTCTTTCCGTCCGAATACAATTTAGGTGTCTTCAAGGCTAGAGTGAATAGGCTCTTAATAAACTAGTGCGCCTTAGCATCAACGATTGCATCACTGCTTACCATCAGGTGGGATCGCATTCAAGCACTAGTTTATTGCAAGTAAAAAAAAATCTGTTCATAAAAATTTTCCGCTTGGTCAATATCAAGGTGGATGAAGTGGCACCACAAGAAACGTTCAAGGTCATCTCAATTACGTAGACATTAAGTTTGACCAATATATTTTTGATTATAAAATGACAAGACTACATCTGTCCTCAGCAAATAGCAGTGCGCTGTGCTTCTAGCGTTTTCTCATCGCTTTGATCTGTCGGTAAATAGAGTGAGACAGAGGGTAAGAGAGGGACAGCACGCGGCGGGATTATACAGCCTCCTCTATGGTTTGTTTATTTTCCTCATGTCTATCTATCTCTATCTCGTTCTTCTCCATATAAATTTACACTTTGGAAAGAGCAAATTGCTTCACTATTAGGACTGACGTTCAGACTGACACTTTTTATCTTTAAGCTTTGTTTAACGTTTAAAACTGCCTGTAAGGGTCTAATTGAATTTTTTTTTTACTTTGTCTTTAACGACTTCATATTGATCTTGGCCTAAGTACAGTCAAGTGGAATACTATTAAAATATATTTACCAGAGTCAGAGATAGGTCCCATACTTCTGGTGATGACGGTGTTCCAGCTGATGAAGTACTGCTTGAAGGTGGAACATTCAGAGCCTTCAGAAACCTTCGTCACGTTAACCTAGAAAGAAAACAGAGAATTAGATCCAAGTGATCTTAATATCCTGGATATTTGCTTTTCTCATCATCAGCCGGGAGACATCCCCTTTGTTCCTCCACATCGAACGACAGCTCGCCACCTACATTAATCGGCTCCCCGCGACTCTGACGATGTCGTCGATCCACCTAGCGGGGTTGCAGGGTAAGCGCAATGAGGCACCGCGACCTCGGCCTAGAGCAGGAGAACAAACAGGGGGGTTTGTAGTCAGTAAGAGTCTGACACTCCCTCCCAGAAGTTATTTGATGCTTTTCTTCTCACAAAAAAACCTAGTGGGGGACCCTTTCGGATCCGTGGTCGCCACTCGAGTACTTTTCGCCCGTCTTTCGAGCAGCGTGGCCATTGTAACTTTAGTCTATAGATTTTACGAGGTATATCTGTATTTTTGGTCCTCCCACCACATCTCCAATTCCCCAAATCCTCAAATACCTAATCCTTTACAGGCCAGCAACGTACTTTTGAGTCCTTTGGTATTGATGTCCATGGACAGCGCTGATCGCTTACCATCAGGTGAGCCGTCTGCGCTTTTCATCAGGTGGAGGCCCGGAGGATCCCGCTTCTCAGCCATGAAGGTCCGAAACCTGACAAGTATCAATGTGGCTTTTTCCGCGTCTTCATTATCATCATCATCAGCCTATAAGTGCCCACTGCTGTGCAAAGGCCTCTATCACACGGAGAAGGTTGTGCCTTAAACCTTCTCCGTGTGATAGAGGCCTTTGCACAGCAGTGGGCACTTATAGGCTGATGATTTAATGTGAGATCAATGTGACGGTTTGCCGTCGTCTACATATACTAATATTATAAAGAGGTAAAATTTGTAAGTTTGTATGTAGGGGGTAACCTTTGGAACCGCTGGTCGGATTGCCAAAATTCTTTCACTGATAGATAGCTACAATGTCACCACGCTTGCTCAAGGCGGATTGGCGATTTAAAACTTATAATAAGAAATTACAAGTCCAGGTTTCCTTACGATGTTTACCTTCTCCGTATGTCAGTGGTGTCTAAATAATCATAGGAAGTACATATAACTCGGAAAAAAACACATTGGTACTTGCCAGGTTTCGAACCGGCACCCTCATGCATGAGAAGTGGGCGCTTTAACCTCCGGTCCACCGCGACTCAGTTTCCGAGTTATGTGTACTTTCAATGATTATTTAGACATCATAGGGTAAAAAACATCTCGAGGAAACCTGGAATAAGTTCACAATTTCTAACTATAAGATTTAAATCGCCAATCCGCCTTGAGCGAGCGTGGTTAATGCTCAAACCTTCTCCATGTAAGAAGATGCCTTTGCTCAGCAGTGGGTACTTACAGGCTGACGATTTAATGTGAGATCAATGTGACGGTTTGCCGTCGTCTACATATACTAATATTATAAAGAGGTAAAATTTGTAAGTTTGTATGTAGGGGGTAACCTTTGGAACCGCTGGTCGGATTGCCAAAATTCTTTCACTGATAGATAGCTACAATGTTCCTGAGTGCTATAGGCTATAAAACATCACGCTACGATTAAATGGAAACCGCGCGAGAGTAGCTAGTAACTAATAAAAAAAAAAATACTTACCCATGAAGGATAATTCTTGGCTTCGAAGTATTGGTTGGCAATGTCATGATAAGCCTTCCTGACATCAGAGCTGACTTCAGAACCGATCCAGATGTAAACTCCAGAGCATGGAGTGTCCAGGATAAAGACTTCCTGTAATGATAGAACAGCATTAGAAAAGGGGGCCGGGGTTGCCACAGCCTAGAGCAGGAGAAGGGACGGAAGGGTTTTTTAGTCAGTAAGGGTGTAACACTCCGTGCCGTCCCTCCCTGAGCAGGAGAAGTCATTTGATAATCTGACTGCACGGTTGGTGCGGTGGCCGGGCAACTGGCTGCCGTGCAATGTGTCGCGGGTTTAATTCCCGCACGGAACAACACTTTGTGTGATCCACAAATTGTTGTTTCGCGTCTGGGTGTCATGTGTATGTGACATTGTATGTTTGTAAACGCACCCACAACACAGGAGTAAATCTAAAGCGGGGCAACGTTTTTAACAAAAAAGAAAGAAAAAGAAAAGAAAAAATAAGAAACATCCGCACCCCCCCAAAAAAGTAGTATACTAACTACTTTTTTGGGGGGGTGCGAAATTGTATTCGAAAAAGGCAACGTCCATGCTGAGAGAGAAACATACGGCTATGTTATTTTCAAAAGTTAATTTGCTAAATAATTTCTGAATGCACGGCGAAGTCATGTTTATTTGAACTTTCGTATTCTCAAATGGAGTGTAATCTACATTAGCGCCACCATGTGAATAACGAAGTGAAAGGAACTAAAACGAGTGATTATTTTGACGTTTGTGTACAGGCGAGATGAGAAGCGAAGTGGCGTGTATTTATTTAATTATTTTTTTTAAAAAACCTTGCCCCACACTTGAATTTTCTCCAGTGTCGTGGGTGCGTTTATAAACATACAATTTCAGATACACATCACACCCAGACCCGGAACAACAATTTGTGGATCACACAAAGAGTTGTTCCGCGACACGTTGCGCGGCAGTCGGTTGCCCAGCCACCGCGCCAACCGTGCAGTCAAAAGTGTGACTTTCGAGAGGACTTTCAAAGTGATTTACCATTTAATAAGATTAGCACAGCTGATTGATTATGATGATACTTACATCAGATGTCAAATGGCTTTGCTTGTATGGTTTATTAAGAGCCACAACGTCGAAGTCATCGCCGAGCATAACACGGTACAGGTAGACTGCAGAAATATCGTCACGGTAATAAGTCTGAAATGGAAAAAACAATCTTAATACAAGAAATTTCACTACCATCAGTTTACTGGACCATCTGAATATGGATAAAATATAATTTATAGAATCAGGCGTTACTTTGCGGAAATCCATGACATTAAATGTTAGGTAAAATATCTATCTAGTTTTTATTCCGCGACAAAATTCAGGTTTGTTGCAGGTTGCAATTCCACTCCTACGCAATAATGCATATGCACATGCGGCAAAGGTAATATTATGCACACGTGCAAAAAACAGAAAAACATGGCACGCAATCAAACCTATACTCGACACGTGTTTCGCCCCTCCACAGGGCATCCCCAGCAGATGTTGACTCGACGAGCGTTCGGCTACGAATTTTCAGCCGGTTAAAAATCACTAACCTAACATTTAATGGATAATATATTTGGTTATTTTCTCTTTCTCTGATTCTTAGGCTCAATCTGAATGTTTCACTTGTTTAAAAAAATAGAATTAACTTAAATAAAGTAAAAAATAATTCCATTGAAAAATAGTAACCATGGAGTTTCTTGCTCGTTCTTTTCCTTACGAATCTACACTTTAGAACGAGCACCTAGCTTCACTAGAAGACTGATATGTAGATAATAAGTTAAAAAAGTGTGATAAATAAACTATCGCGTAGCGTATCGCCTGGACAGTCCACGCTACCATCAGTTGACTGGACAATCTCTACACTACACGAGTCACTGTTTACATGTCACCATTAGCTCATGACGATACCTAAGTACGTATCGCCTGGACAGTCCACGCTACCATCAGTTGACTGGACAATCTCTACACTACATGAGTCACTGTTTACATGTCACCATTAGCTCATGACGATACCTAAGTACGTATCGCCTGGACAGTCCACGCTACCATCAGTTGACTGGACAATCTCTACACTGCAAGAGTCACTGTTTACATGTCACCATTAGCTCATGACGATACCTAAGTACGTATCGCCTGGACAGTCCACGCTACCATCAGTTGACTGGACAATCTCTACACTACACGAGTGACAGTTTTCAATACTTACTGTGCCAGAATCATCACTAGCGATTTCGTCTTTGGATCCTGATCCAAGAGCTTGGAAGAAGGAGTCAAAGTCTTCGTCCGAGGAGAATTCATCTGCAAAACAAAAATACATTTTTAGAAACAAGATGGGAGATAACTTTGGCTCGAATGTGCTGACCCGACTGGAGAGATACCACGGCTTCACAGAAAATAGACTTGAAAGAACTACAGCGTTTGTGTTATCACTAACACAACGCTGTGGTTGTATCATGCATAACTGCGAATTCGTGGCCGTTTTTTTACTTTCCTATATTTTTTTTCTTTCTTTCTATTATACAGACACGTTGTCTAACAACATTTCGGCGCTTAAAAACGATAACAATACTAGAACTACTTATTCGCGTAAAGACAGAAACAGAAAATATGACAGGGTATGGCGGGATGCCTGTTGCTAGAGAGAGAGATAGGTAAATACATAGTCTGGCCATAAATACTGTTACTTTGAATCTGTCATTTTTATATAATTTTTCATTGTGTTTTCTTATTTTGACGCCAATAAATTGTTCAATATTTTGCGATATTAAAATGGAGTGGGGTGATGAAGAGAACCGAATCGCTGTGATTGCATTACACAAAGTGGGTATGGAGCCAAATGCAATTTTTTAAACTCTCCACACGCTTGGCATTAGTCAAATGTTTGTGTACCGGTCTATTAATAGGTACAATGAGACCTCCTCTGTTTGTGACAGAAAAAGATCTGGCCGTCCACATAGTGTTCGTACGAAAAAGGTGGTCAAAGCAGTAAGGGAAGATTTATGGTCAGTTTTAGAGAGTAGGGCTTGCTCTAAACGTTATGATAATTTGGACTCCCTAAAACAATCCATACGATTGGCAGTGAAGAATTTTCCCATGGAAAGAGTGCTTCTATTGATAACTGGCCTCAACGTTTGAAGGACTGTATTGCAGCCAATGGAGACCACTTCGAATAAGCTTTTTATGTTTTAAATTGTTTTATATTTATGTATTATTGTCGTGGTGGCCCGGAGGCTAAGGCGCCCGCTTCTCATGCATGAGGGTGCGGGTTCGAAACCTGGCAAGTACCAATGTGACTTTTTCCGAGTTATATGTATTTTCTGTGATTATTTAGACACCACTGACATACGGTGAAGGTAAACATCGTGAGGAAACCTGGACTTATAATTTCTAATTATAAGTTTGAAATCGCCAACCCGCATTGAGCAAGCGTGGTGATTAATGCTCTAACCTTCTCCGTATGAGAAGAGGCCTTTGCTCAGCAGTGGGCATTTATAGGCTGATCATGATGAAACTTACATACTGTAAAAGTAATAAATGTTATTTGCAATAGATTTTTTTTTATTTGTTACAGTATTTATGGCTAGACTAGGTATATTACAACAAAACAACTATAATACATTAGTGTCCTATAAACTTCCCGATATACATCATAGAATGCAAACACAAAAATTCATAAGATAATAACAATAATTTCGAAATACTAGTCCGTATTTTATTTAAAACTAGCTACTCTCGCGGTTTCACCCACTGCTCGGCTCGGCATTTGATCGTAGCGTGATGTTTTATAGCCTATAGCACTCAGGAACATTATAGCTATCTATTAGTGAAAGAATTTTGGCAATCCGACCAGCCGTTCCAAAGATTACCCCCTACATACAAACTTACAAATTTTACCTCTTTATAATATTAGTATAAACCAATCTTATCACTCTCGACATAAATGCATCATTAAATTAATTTACAATAAAATAGATCCGTAAAATATAAAAACTTATGTAAATAGATACCTAATCTTTTCCTGACAAAGATATTGGAAAAGATAAACGAATTATTTTTGAGGAAAACAATGACAACAAGGCGGTGATCTCATTGTATATGCTAAATGACTAATGTGTACTGTTTTAATATCAACCGGGAAAGTCCATTTTAATCTAGTAATTCGTTTCGCGAGAATGACACACTGAATGAGTAATTGCCAATGTTGTTCCGGCCTCGGCCCAGAGCAGGAAATGGAACAGGGTGGATTTGAGTCAGTAAGAGTCTAATACTCTTTCTTGTCTATGCAGGGGTGTGATTCTGTAAGACTTCATTCTAAACTTCGAATCTGAATCCGTCGTGAGTAGTACACTAGCGCTACACTTGCGAGTTGAACTAAATTGACAGCATCATTTTGAAAGATAAAGTATGAAATGACGTTAAAAGTGGCATTCTAAAATTTAATTTACCCGTCACTTCGACGCTCACTTCGCACTCGAACACGATTCAAAATCAAACGAATTTTATAGAATCGACGTGCAGAGCGAAAGTTGTCAATCTATACTAATGTTATAAAGAGGTAAAATTAGGAAGTTTGTATACCTTTGGAACCGCTGGTGGGATTTCCAAAATTCTCCTCACAAGGCCTCACAGAATACCGGCGTGAAACAACCCACAGTGTTGTGTTTCACCGTGTGAGTGAGGTTACCGGAGGCCCAATCCCTTCCCTTTCCCTATCCCTTCCCGATCCTTACATCCGCAACCCCAAAAGCACTCGTAACTCCTTTGGTGTTGCGGGTGTCCATGGGCGGCGCTGATTGCTTACCATCAGGTAATCCGTCTGCTCGATTGCCAACTTATACCATAAAAAAATCTTTCATTAATAGGTATATTATTGTTACAATAATCCTGAGTGCTATCCAAACTATCCAAACTAATATTATAAATGCGAAAGTAACTCTGTATTCCTGTCTGTCTGTTTTATCTTTGAAATTTGGTACAGATATAGTTTGGAACTCAAAAAAGGACATAGGATAATTTTTAAACCAAAATTTTAGTCAAAGTCACTATTGACACTAGACACACACTTCTCACAGACAAAGACGCGAGCAAAAGCTAGTATGCTATAAATTGGGTAGTTTCCTAGGTCAAAAATAAATTAATTCGACGTTTTAATACGATAAAATATTGAAAAATAACTATACTTTTATTCATCGATCGATCGATACACTAAGTTTTAGATATTTTTTAGCTATTTTTTTAAAAATAATTAAGCTATTTGACGCAAAAATACTATGACGTCATAACCCATTTTTTCATACAAATTTCATAGAAAAGTATCGTTTTTGACATTTGGATAAAAGTATTGAATTTGACTAGTTGGAAACTACCGTATTATACTTGACTAGCAACTCTCGCGCGGTTTTACCCGCAGCTCGGTTCCATTTAATTGTAGCATGATGTTTTAAACCAACTTTGATTTTGACTTTGACATTAATGTTTTGTGATTACACGGTGGTTAAAAGCAATTTATCCGACCAACTAGTCAGTACTTTCTTTTTGTCGGGGGAAAGTCACCAAATTATTTCTCCCAGGAGGAAGTGTCAGATTCTTATTGATTAAAAACTTCCCCGTGCCTTCTACTGCTACCGGCCGAGGCCGCGGTCTCTCTATCCGCACAATGACCTCGACTAAGGCTGGACTCGAGAGGTCACCGCCGCCGATCACTTCCCTGAGGACACGGTGGTGCTCAGCCCAAACTGGACATACCATGGATAAGTGTGGCAGAGCCAAGCTTCGGCACGAATGGGTCGGCTCGACCGGAGTGATACCAAGGCCTCACAGAATACCGACGTGAAACAACCACAGCATTATGTTTCGCCGTGTGAGTGAGGTTACCGGAGGCTCAATCCTTCCCTCCCTTGATCCCTCCCAATCCCGTAACCTCCAAAACCCTAATCCCTAAAAGGTCGGTAACGCACTCGTAACTCCTCCGTTGCCGGTGTCCATGGGCGACGCTGATTACTTACCATCAGGTAATCCGTTTGCTCGTTTGCCGACCTGTTACATAAAAAAAATACTATTCACGGTGTCCTAACTAGACATTTCTAAAAGACTTACCAATGATTTCAATAGTAGCCCGTCCATTGTGGTTGTCGTCCCTCAGTTGATTGGCCACGCTGATGATCTTCCTCCTTTGAGTAGCCTTGGCACCTTCGGGCATCAGCACGAATATGTCATGGTCCACTTCCAATATGAAGCAATGGTCTTTGGTGAGGGATGAGGAATCTGCTGGTACCTGTGAAGGAAAATGGATAAGTGATTAAGTGTGGGAGAGCCATGCTTCGGCACGAATAGGTCGGCTCGACCGGAGTAATACCACGGCCTCACAGAAAACCGGCGTGAGACAACCACAGCGTTGTGTTTCGCCTCCCCAATCCCTGAATCTACCTAATCTCTAATCCTCAAAAGGTCGGCAACGCACTCGTAACTTCTTTGGTGTTGCGGGTGTCCATGGGTGGCGCCTATTGCTTACCATCAGCACGTCGATTCTATAAAATTTGTTTGATTTTGAATCGTGTTCGACTGCGAAGTGAGCGTCGAAGTGACGGGGAAATTAAATTTTAGAATGTCACTTTTAACGTCATCTCATACTTTATCTTTCAAAATGATGCTGTCAATTTAGTTCAACTCGCAAGTGTAGCGCTAGTGTACTACTACTCACGGCGGATTCAGATTCGAAGTTTAGAATGAAGTCATACAGAATCACACTGCAGGTAATCCGTCTGCTCGTTTGCCGACTTATACCATAAAAAAAGACCAGACAACTATGGAACAAATCGACTCTACAGGAATAATACCACCTGACTTCAAAAGAAACCGTCGTGAAATAACCAAAGCGTTGTTTTACCATGTTAGTTATGTGCCCATGCAGTTACCTCCAGTAAGAGGGAGTGTCAGATTCTTACTGACTAAAAACCCCCCGTTCCTTCTCCTGCTCTGGGCCGAGGTCGCAGTGCCTCATTGCGCTTACCCCGCAACCCCGACTGAACATCAGCCCTATAGGGCCCCGTCTGTGGTGGTCTATTGGCTCTTTGAGGCGCGCGCGGAACGCTACGAGCCCTACGCTCGGGTCTGGTTCTGGTCGGGTGGCGAGCTCCCCTTGCACGCTCTCCGCAGACCCGTGGTTACAGTAGCCCCAAACCCAAAATGCCCAAAACGCACTTTTAAATCCTCTGGTGGAGTTGTAAATGTCATTGTAATGTCTTTTACCGCCGGTGACCCAATCCTTATCCTCCCCTCAATCCCTAAATCTCCCAAATCCCTAATCCCCAAAAGGTCGGAAACGTTTTTGTAACTCTTCCGCTGTTGCGGTTGTCCATTAGCGTCGCTGATTGCTTTTCATCACATAAAAACGATGATAAGCTAAAAATTTTTTTAATGATATGTAAAAATGATATCATCGTATAAAATATGATCTCATATATTTATGTACATATAAATGACTACTATCAAATAAATAGTCGATATTATTTTAATCAGAATTTGTTTATTTATTATCTTATCAATATTTAGAGCTGATTTTGCAATGGTTAGATAAAAGTTACCTGACGAATAATTATGATACTGTCGCGTCACAATGTTTGTATAAGACAGTGACAGCAACAATTTTATTCCTCAGATAACATTTATTAGACTATTGAAAATCAGTCGTAAGTCAACTATACAAACCTTGATTTTTTAATGTTTTGTCTAAATACCAATAAATACTTGACAACAAGTTTAATAACTACCAAATTCCGGCAATAGGTAATTTCTCAACTCGTAACTCCTCCGTTGTATCAGAATCAGAATCAGAGCGTTTATTTGTGAAACATAGGTATTTATTAACAATGGCGGACTTAACGCCTTAGGCGTTCTCTGCCAGTCTACCTTTGGGTGGTGGAGAAATAGGAGTGGTAGGTGCATCTTCTTGATAAAAACAAGGAAAAAAAATTAAAGAGAGAGAAGAGAAATTGAGGTGTTGACTCGACGAGCGACGACGTCGAGTCAACACCTCCTGAGGATGCACTGTGGAGGGGCGAAACACGTGTCGAGTATAGGTTTGATTGCGTGCCATGTTTTTCCGTTTTGTGTATGTGTGCATATGCATGTCACCCTTGCTGCATGTGCATATGCATGATTGCATAGGAGTGGGATTGCATCCTGCAACAAGCCTGGATTTTTGTCGCGGAATTAAAACTAAATATTTTCCCTAACATTTAATGTCATGGATTTCCGCAAAGTAACGCCTGATTCTATAAATTAAGGAAAAAAAACACATGCTACAAAATTAATACACAATAAATATAAATATATAAATACATATACATTATATTAATACAATAAATATGTTTTATATATATATATGTATTTACATTTAGATCTTAAGTTATATAATATAGTTGCGCTATGTTTTGCCGTGAAGGCGTACAAATATTAAAATAAAATTAAAGAACTTGAACTGTAGCGGGTGTTCGGCGGAACGGAGGAGTTACGAGTGCGTTGCCGACCTTTTAGGGATTAGTATTTTAGAGATTTAGGGATTGGGCCTCTAGTAACCTCACTCACACGGCGAAACACAACGCTGTGATTGTTTCCGGTTTTCTGTGAGTCTGTGGTATCACTCCGGTCGAGCCGACCCATTCGTGCCGTATGGCTCTCCCACACTTGATAAATGCCAGTTTCACATGGCATCACGAGTGAACGACTAGACCGATTCCGATAAATCTTTTAACGCTGTGTTTGTAAAGATTAGGAGAGTGTTGTTATGGAAGCGAATTTAAGAAAAGTAGGGTGGGTGGGATTATCAGACTCTTACTGACTAAAAACCCCCCTGTTCCTTCTCCTGCTCTGGGCCGAGGTCGCAGTGCCTCATTGCGCTTACCCCGCAACCGCGCCTGAACATCAGCCCTATAGGGCCCCGTCTGTGGTGGTCTATCGGCTAACTTGGTAGGCTTGGCATTTCGACAGGTCGTGGTCGCAAGCAGACTGAAAGCTTACCAAGATATTTAAAGAATAATTTTTCGTGTTAATATCCGCGTTTTTATCTATACTAATATTATAAAGAGGTATTTGTAAGTTTGTATGTAGGGGGTAATCTTTGGAACCGTTGGTCGGATTGCCAAATTTTTCCAAATTACAATGTTCCTGTGTGCTATAGGCTATAAAACAATACGCTACGATTAAATGGAGCCGTAGGTTGTAAACATGAAGCACGAAGGTTTAAAAATTGGTGTTTAAATATAGTTAGAAAGGACATATGATTTAAAAAAAGTCGCATTTGTACTTGCCAGGTTTCGTACTCGCTCTTTCATGCATGAAAAGTGAGTGTTTATTTTAAAAACTGTAATAGCTGCATTTAATTAATATGTATACCTATATGTATTAATTGAAGCAATTAAGTGTGCAAAGATTGCCAAATTTTTTTGATAAACAATCAATATTATCATTTAACGATTATGTGATACTGCATCGTATCTACATATATTTTATCTTACTTATTAATATTATAAATGCGAAAGTTCCGATGTTTGGATGGTTGGATGTTTACTTGTTACTCAATCACGCCAAAACGGTTGGACGGGATCTGGATGAAATTAGGTACAGGCATAGGATACACTCCGGAATAGGCCATAAGCTACTTTTTATCAACATACCACGTGGGCGAAGTCACGCTGGCGGAAGCTAATTTGTTATGTTACAAGACCTAAAATATTATGACTTTACACCATTATTTGTTTTATAGGAACAACTATCTTTCGCCCATGCTTCGCACGCGAAAAAAGATAATGTATCCCGGGATTTAAAAAAAAACAGCAGTGTTTAAAGCGATAGCTCCACTACAATATGCAAATAAAGTTTAATTCATAGCCTATAGCACTCAGGAACATTGTAGCTATCTATCAGTGAGAGAATTTTGGCAATCCGACTAGCGGTTCCAAAGATTACCCCCTACATAAAAACTTACAAATTTTACTTCTTTTTAATAGTACCCATCCCGGCTTCGAAGGGGTGCAATGACGATACTAAATCTATTAAAAAAAACCGCAAAAAATATATAGTTTTTTAGGGGTCACCGGACGATAAGCAATCAACGCCGCTCATGTACACCTTACACCAAAAAAGTTCCCGAGCGTACTGCGCGTAGCGTTCCGCGCGCGCCTCAAAGAGCCAATAGACCACCACAGACGGGGCCCTATAGGGCTGATGTTCAGCCGGGGTTGCGGGGTAAGCGCAATGAGGCACCGCGGCCCAGAGCAGGAGAAGGAACAGGGGGGTTTTTAGTCAGTAAGAGTCTGACACTCCCTCCCGCCCGGCCCTGGGTGGGAGAAGTCATTTGATGATTTTCCCCTCACAAAAAAAAAAACTCCAAAAAAGTTGCAAGATCGCCTTTTGGGGAGAAAAAGTTTTGGGGGTTTAAGGACCCCCAGAAAGAAGACAAAGGATTGGGCCTCCGGTAACCTCATTCACACGGCGAAATCCAACGCTGTGGCTGTTTCACGCCGGTTGTCTGTGAGGCCGTGGTATCACTCCGGTCGATAGGATCATTGCAGCTGATTGACATTGGCTACCGACCGATAAATAGCAAAAAAGTGCGTCCTAAACTCTACAGTGGCGCCACCACTTGATCAAAAATTCAGTTGCATCTTTCCTGCCCAGTAAGTACTAAAATGGGTGTCCTAAACTCTACAGTGGCGCCACCAATTGATCAAAAATTCAGTTGTATCTTTCCTGCCCAGTAAGTAACAAAATGGGATGTCCTAAACTCTACAGTGGCGCCACCACTTGATCAAAAATTCAGTTGTATCTTTCCTGTCTAGTAAGTACCAAAATGGGTCTCCTAAACTCTACAGTGGCGCCACCACTTGATCAAAAATTCAGTTGTATCTTTCTTGCCCAGTAAGTACTAAAATGGGATGTCCTAAACTCTACAGTGGCGCCACCACTTGATCAAAAATTCAGTTGTATCTTTCCTGCCCAGTAAGTACCAAAAGGGATGTCCTAAACTCTACAGTGGCGCCACCACTTGATCGAAAAATCAGTTGTATCTTTCCTGCCCAGTAAGTACTAAAATGGGTGTCCTAAACTCTACAGTGGCGCCACCAATTGACCAAATTGACATTATTAACCTCCTCTCCCTCACTCACCTCCTCAATCCTCATGTTCTCACATCCTGAGAGTTTGAGCAGTCTCTTTTCAGCGCCCGCGTTAGTTTCCACTTCAGTGAAACCGGATTCGTTACCTCCTTCCATGTACCTTATCGCTAAAACAAAATTTAGAGTTTTAATTGTGGGAGAACCATGCTTCGGCACGAATGGGTCGGCTCGACCGGAGTGATACCTCACAGAAAACCGGCGCAAAACAACCACAGCGTTGTGTTTCGCCGTGTGAGTGAGGTTATCGGAGACCCAATCCTTCCCCTTCCCTAATCTCTAAATCTCCAAAAGGTCGGCAATGCACTCGTAACTCCTCCGTTTATGGGCGGCGCTGATTGCTTACCATCAGGTAATCCTCGCTCGTTTGCCGATTACATAACAAAATAATATACTAACCAGGTTTAAAATACCCCAGGAACTTGCTGGACTCGTGGCCCTGGACCTCTCTGTGATGGACTGCCTTTCCGCCCAACATATCGTCCAAGGTAACAGTCCAGATGGCAGCTGATCCTTTCTTATCCTGGGTTGTTTTACTTCCAAGCCAGAAGTGGGCATCATAACTTAAAGTGGCATTACTCTGTCCGGATGTCTGAACAAAAAGAGATTTTAAATTAAAACAAATATTTGGAACATGAAAAAGCAATAAATTGGTAACGATGTGTTGAGTTAAGTTTCCTTAAGGCTGATTTTTCAATAGTCATCTAAAAATGTTAGCTAAGGAATAAAATTGTTGTTGTCACTGTCTTATACAAACATTGTGACGCGACAGCAACATAATTATTGCCCAGGTAACTTTTATCTAACCATACATATTATTATAATATTATAAAGCTGTAGAGTTTGTTTGTTTGAACGCGTAAATCTCCAAAACTACTAATTCGAATTGAATAATTATTTTTGAGTTTGTTAGTACATTTATCGAGGAAGACTTTAGGTTATGCACACATCACGCCACAATTTGTAGAAGCCGAGCAGCGAGTGAACCCGCGCGACAGAAGCTAGTAAACATGTAAAAAATATACAAGAAAAGAAAATCTCTTTTAGCAGAAAAAAGCGTTTTTATTTTTAACTTTGCCCTTCATAAGTATTTTCTCCTGTGTCGTGGATGCGTTTACAAACATACAATTTCACATACACATCACATTCAGAACAATCAGCCGGGGTTGCGGGGTAAGCGCAATGAGGCACCGCGACCTCGGCCCAGAGCAGGAGAAGGAACGGGGGGTTTTTAGTCAGTAAGAGTCTGACACTCCCTCTCGCCCGGCCCTGGGCGGGAGAAGTCATTTGATGATTTTCCCCTCACAAAAAAAGACCTGGAACAACAATTTGTGGATCACACAAAGAGTTGTGTAGTAGGGTAGCGTGTGTAATTGTGTATGTGTAATATCCACGATACAAGATAAAATCCTAAAGTGGGGCAAGGTCCTAATTCCTCCCCAATCGCTAATCCCCAAAATGTCGGCAACACATTATTAGCTCTTCTGCTGTTGCAGATATCCAAAGGCTTCGCTGATTGCTTACCATAAGGTAATCCGTCTGCTCCTTAGGAGTCCTACTACATTGAAAAACGTTCTTTTTTTTAAAAAAAAACTGTACAATATGGTTGTACTTACTTTTAAAACTATGTATGAATCCCCATTATAGAATTTTCCGTAGGATTTTGAAGGAACTGCTACTGGTTCGAATTGCTGAAAACAAAATAATACATTTAATACATACATATTTCTTTAGCCAGGGCTCTTTAAGGCACCGATAGACCAAGACCAGGGGTGAGAAAGCCATGCTTCGGCACGAATGGGTCGGCTCGACCGGAGTGATACCACGGCCTCACAGAAAACCGGCGTGAAACAACCCAGCGTTGTGTTTCACCGTGTGAGTGAGGTTCCCGGAGGCCCAATCCCTCTTCTTCCCCTATCCCTTCCCGATCGTCTTGTCCGCAACCCCTATCCCCAAAATGCTCGCAACGCATAACTCATTTGGTGTTACGGTTGTCAGTGGGCGGCGCCGATTGCTTACCATCAGGTAATCCGTCTGCTCGTTTGCCGGCTTATACCATGAAAAGGTGCCAATTCTCGGTTTTCGAGATGGTTTTGGATGACGTAATATTTTCGACTTTAAAATTTGCTTTTCTGGGATATCGAATTTGATGTTCAAAGGCTAACGTTAGAGTTCATGTAGAGTGCTTCTGAGCTAGAGAAGTCATGTCGATTGTAGAATACATCATTTCTGAGTGGATTCGTTAAGTTTTTAATTGTAGAGCGTTTTCTTTTCTTTCGTATTTACATATATTAAATACGGCTTAGCATCTCAAACGTACTTCAAAATCTATATATAACAGCCTACTATTTAAACAAAAAATTAAACATATAATACTAATAATATCTTCTGATTTATTTCGTTGCGGGATCCAAGACAGTCATTCATGTCACTGGGACGCGGCGGACTTCAGTGTTCCGGCGTTTTCATGGTTGTATCTACTGTAGATCCTGGTGTACAGGATTTGCAGCGGTTTTAGGAAAATGAGGCTGGCTTGTCCCATTTAAAAAAAAAAGCGTGTGCATTGCCAGCTTTGAAAAAATTGGAAACGCTCTTTTTTTAAAGGTGTTAAAAATATTTTTGTGAAATGGTTGATTTTATTCAAAATGAAAGTGTATTTGTACCTCTATGGTCCAAATTTCGATACCCGGGTTAGCTCCGGCCTCAGCGAACGCTGGGTGATCCATTTTTCAACTTCCTTGTATTGAAAAGTAAGACTCCTATCAATACGCCTCAGCTTTTCTCTGTAAAACACCAAAATGAGCTTAGAAAAAATATTCTAACATGTTCCTGATACATTTGTCGGCTGAATATAGGCTAGCAAGAGGTTAATTATGGTTTTCAATTGTAAGCTGAACTATTGTCACTGTTTTGATAAAAAAAAAATCGAAAATACGATCTCTTGTAAGTATTCGTTTTTTTATTCTACAAACTGACGCGGTCAAGTATTAAAAACTTAGGTATCACTGTAACAGTAGTTCACCCGAGATTACAGGGTAAGCTCAAACAATATTCCACTGTGGTTATTCCTTTTTTTTGTGAGGAGAAACATACAATGTCTTCTCTCGCTCAAAGTATGGCGAGAGGGAATATTAGACTCTTACTGACTAAAAACCCCCGTTCACTCTCCTGCTCTTGGCCGAGGCCGCGGTGCCTCATTTCGCTTAACCCGCAACCCCGGCTGACCATCAGCCCTATAGGGCCCCGTCTGTGGTGGTCTATTGGCTCTTTAAGGCGTGCGGTTTTCGTGTGTTGTCGTTTGAGGTTTCACTATTGTCATTAAAAAAGAAACGTTGCTCCACACCACGATTTTCTTCTGTGCCGTGGGTGCGGTACAATTTCACATACACATCACACCCGGAACAACAATTTGTGGATCACACAAAGAGTTGTTCTGTGCTGGAATTTTTCGTGGTTGCGCACAGCCAGTTGCTTAACCAACCGTACACTCATATAATTCAGTGGTTTAATAATTCAAACTAATATTATAAATGCGAAAGCAACTCTCTCTGTCTGTCTTACTTTTCTTCACGCCTAAACTACTGAACCGATTTCTGCGAAATTTGGTACAGACATAGTTTGCAACTCGAGAAAGGACATAGGATATTTTTTTTATACCAAAAATCTTCAGGAAGTCACTTTTACTCGCGAACGGAACGAAAACCTAGTTAGAAATAAATATATAGGTAATGAATTTAATGTATTTACCGTTTACTATTCTGAAGTGTATCACTAACAAGTTTTTGTTGGTAACTGATACGAAATTTATACCGAACTCTTTTGTGTGTGTCGCTAGATAGATAAGGGGAGAATTATCAGGATTTATCCATGATAAGATTATGTAGTTGCCTGTGTATTGTTGTTATAGTATATCGATGTTTTTTTTTACATAATCATCATCATCATCATCATCAGCCTATAAGTGCCCACTGCTGAGCAAAGGCCTCTTCTCACACGGAGAAGGTTTGAGCATTAAACACAACGCTTGCTCAATGCGGGTTGGCGATTTCAAACTTATAATAAGACATCCCGGCGTACGGCAAATATCCACCCTCACGTTGTTGAGATACCTGCGGCCCGGACTAAGCGTTTTGCCTCGTCATTTATACCGCGTACATCGAGGGATTGGAACAGTTTGCCGGCTGCAGTCTTTCCGTCCAAATATAATTTAGGTGTCTTCAAGGCTAGAGTGAATAGGCTCTTAATAAACTAGTGCGCCTTACCATCAACGATAGCAGACAGGTAGGATTGCAATCAAGCACTAGTTTATAACAAGCAAAAAAAAAAATATTATAGGTGCAGGTTTCCTTACGATGTTTACCTTCACCGTTTGTCAGTGGTGTCTAAATAATTATAGAAAGTACGTATAACTCGGAAAAAGTCACATTGGTATTTGCAAGGTTTCGAACCCACACCCTCATGCATGAGAAGCGGGCTTCTTAACCTCCGGGCCACCACGACATTTGCGCTTATTGCTTACCAACAGACAATTCATGTGCTCAATTCATATGACATAAAAAATATGTGTATTCTTTGTATATTTAACGTCATTTTTGAACTAGATTTTACAATATGAAGAAAACTAGTCTTTGCCAGGAGTACTAGAATAAAAAGTAGTCTTTGACTTACTCCAGATCATAGTCTACTTGTATGCCATATTTCTTCTAGATCCGTTCAGTAATGTTTGAAAATAACAACATAGGGACCCTCCGCAAAATTTTTAATTGTTAATAACCATATTATGTTACATATACATATAAATAAAACCAAAGGTAAATTAGAATTATTTATTTATTATTAGGACAAACAATTTAATAAATACCATATGATCACAACATTCATTAATAATATTCACAAAAACTAAATCGAATCGAGACAAGATAGCACAAAAATAAATTTAAGGTTGGTCCCAGTATACTACCCTGTGGAACTCCACAGTTTTTGCAGAGAACTAGCTAACATTTTTTTTCCCACTAACGTATTGTGTTTGTTGTATATTAATTATCGTTTCTATAATGAAATGTATAAAAAATATTTGAACAATACCGATATAAATATGAGCTGTCGACTTGCTACGGTGTTGAAGGCCTCGCCCGAAGAAGAACGTGAATTTGCATAAATGTTCTGCGAATTCTAGAAAGAGCAAAATATCATTAGTAGTTAATTATATATAAAATTTACTCTTGAAACTGTTTCGCTTATAACTCGGCGAGCTAAACTTACTCGCCGTCCGCAGATGACAAACAGTTGAGTGTCACCGACTGCGGTGGCCGGGGTGTGCGGAGGGGGATAATTCCCTCACGTTGTCCACCTCCTTCTTTGCGAGCATAACGGCTTCCCAGTTCCTCTCGCTTAGCACCATGGCCTCGACTAAGGCCGAGCGTGAGAGGACGCCGCTGCCCGATCACTTCCCCGAGGACACAGCGGTGCTCAGCCCAAGCAGACCAAACCGCCACCTGCTCCATTGTGTTCTCTGGGTGGTCCTCACAATGACGACACTCTGGCGTTTCTGCCGCTGTATCCGAAACAGGAACCTACCGAAGCTGCCGAAAACGGTAAGCACCTGAGGCGATCAGGCGGAAGGTGAGGACACAGTGGCGTCTCTCAAGACTCCTCTAAGAGGTGTCTTACCGCTGCTATAACATCGTGCCCGGCCCTCGGTTGCCACAGACGCTGCTTCCACTCTGTCATGAGATTGCGCCGGAGCTCATTCTGCAACGCAGAAATTTGGTGTGGCAGAGGATCCTCGCCCCGGTGACGTGCATCTGCGCGCAAATTGTAGACGCGCGCGGGCTCCTTCGCTTCCAGATCCCATGGCGGTGATCCGGCAAGGAGGTTCGCCTCCTTCCCGGAGATCGTGCGATAGCCGCTGATTATGCACGAGCTGACCGCCGCCTCAAGTCGGACGCCCCCGTAGAGGGCCGAGGATTGCACGATCCCCACATACAACCTCCGACAGGAGGCATTTGGCAAGACGCCGCTTGAGCTCGGCCCCAATCCGCTCCAACTTTGGAGCTAAACGTCGAAAATGCTCCGTGGAGGACGAAACCCAGATACTTCATCGCCGAAATCTGACCAATTCCAGAGATTGCCCCCTACATATAAACTTACGAATTTTACATCTTTATAATATTAGTAGTAAAATAGTGTAAAATAATCTTACTGCATATGACTCTTCATCGTCTCTGTAATCGGGAGCCACCTTACTAAGCATTTGGTTTTCGTTGCAGTTGATATCATCGACAGATGTCCTGAACCTTTCTATATCATCCTTGTCTGTAGAGTCGGGTTGGAGTTTAAAGCTAGAAATAAGTAAGTATGCTGTAGTGTTAGTGACGTCGTGAAGACATAAGGGTATGTAATGGGTTCGAAAACTGGCAAGTACCATTGTAACTTTCTATGATTATTTAGACCCCACTGATATACGGTGGAGGAGAGGAGGTGGTAAGTGTGGGAAAGCCAAGCTTCAGCACGAATGGGTCGGCTTGACCGGAGTTATACCACGGCCTCACAGAATACCGGCGTGAAACAGCGTAACCACAGCGTTGTGTTCCGCCGTACGAGTGAGGTTACCGAAGGCCCAATTCTCGCCCTCCCCATCCTCAATAATCAAATCCCCTATCCTTAAATCCCTAATAACCCACAAGAGGTCGTCAACGCACTTGTGGTAACTGCTTTGGTATTACGAGTGTCCATGGCCGGCGCTGATTGCTTACCATCAGGTAATCCGTCTACTCGTTTACCGACCTGTACCATTAAAAAGAAAAGTTGACTTAAAATTTCTAATGATAAGTTTGGAATCATCAATCCTCTCTATGAGAAGAGGCCTTTGCTTAGCTATGGGTGTGGGTACTTGTATGCTAAGCTAGGTTCAGTTGAGGTGGTAAATCTTACTTATTTCCCCGTCTTCTGATAGGAGCATTAGCCTGTTCATCTTCTACAGCTGTAGGCTTTAGTGTCGTTTCATCTGTGTCTTCATAGCTATCATTTTTTGTGTCTGCATCGTATTTCGTTTTAAATTCTTTAGCAGTAGTTTCTTGAGTATGACGGTCGATAGTTACTTCTTTAGCCACGTCTTCATCAACGTTTTCGTTTTTATAATCTGTGAAATCAAAATTTTTATCATATTAAGGGCTGATTTTTAAATGATTAGATAAAAGTTATGTGAGGAATAAAATTGTTGCTGTCACTGTCTTATACAAACATTGTGACGCGACAGCATCATAATTATTCCCCAGATAACTTTTATCTAACCATTGTAAAATCAGCCCTAAATGCTTTATCTGCATCAAAAATGTCGTGGTGGCCCGGAGGTTTAGGAGACCGCTTCACATGCGTCATGGGTGTAGGTTCGAAACCTGACAAGTACCAATGTGAGTTTTTCAAGTTATATTTACTTTCTATGATTATTTAGACACCATTGTCATGCGGTGAAGGTAAAATTTGTACGGAAACCCGGGCTTATAATTTCTAATTATAAGTTTAAAATCGCCAACCCGCATTGAGAAAGCGTGGTGGTTAATGCTCAAACTTTTTTCGTGTGAGCAGAGGCCTTTACTCAGCAGTGGGCACTTATAGGCTGATGATGATGATGATGATGATGAAGTGCTTCATCTGTGCGATATCTTTCTATACAGTGTGTACACACGAGGGGCATAATCAAGGATCCGATCGCAGTGCTCCAATAAAACAACTTTTTCTTAAGACCTACATGAAAATCTAAAAAAAAACTTCTCCATGTAAAAAGATTAATCAGCTGTTGTGATTTGTATGGCGATGTGAATTTATTTATGAGATTTGGGATATTTGTCTCATGGAAACAGTTGTTGTAATTGATCACTTAAATCGGCTCCTCCAATATGTTCCTGGTGTGACCTAACACGGTGTTTTAATAGACAAAGTTAAAGAGAAAAAATCAAAGTATGGGAGAGCCATATTGCCGCACGAATGGGGTTGCTCGACCGGAGTTATACCAAGGCCTCACCGAAAACCGGCGTTCTTGCTATAAACTAGTGCTTGACTGCGATCCCACCTGATGGTAAGCAGTGATGCAATCGTTAATGGTAAGGCGCACTAATTTATTAAGAGCCTATTCACTCTAGCCTCGAAGACACCTAAATTATATTCGGACGGAAAGACTGCAGCCGGCAAACTGTTCCAATCCCTCGATGTACAAAACGCTTCGTTCGGGCCGCAGGTTTTTTTTTGTGAGAGGAATATCATCAAATGACTTCTCCCACCCAGGGCCGAGCGGGAGGGAGTATCAGACTCTTACTGACTAAAAACCCCCCTGTTCCTTCTCCTTCTCTGTGCCGAGGTCGCGGTGCCTCATTGCGCTTACCCCGCAACCCCGGCTGAACATCAGCCCTTTAGGGCCCCGTCTGTGGTGGTCTATTGGCTCTTTGAGGCGCGCGCGGAACGCTACGCGCAGGTGTCTCAACAATGTAAGGGTGGATATTTGCCGTCCGATGTCCGAAGGTGAAAGGAATGTGCGTGAAACACAAGGTTGTGTTTCGTCGTGTAAAGTGAAGTTACTGGAGGCCCGATCTCTTCCTAATCCAATAAAAAGTATCCCAACCCTTTATCCCTAAAAGGCCGGCAACGCATTCCTAACTTACCGACGACGCCGTTGGCTTACCATCAGGTAATCCGTATACTCGTTTACCGACATCTATACTACATAATATTATAAAGAGGTAAAATTTGTCAATTTGTATTTGTAACAGCTGGTCGGATTTCCAAAATT